TCTTCCTTATATTGTAAAGCTGCGCAAACTGTTGGCGCTAGATAAACCATATAGTATAATAATAATAATCCCAAAGGTGTTCAGTAGGGTTGAGGTCGGGGCTCTGTAGGACACTGAAGTTCTTCCATATCAAACCAGGCCTATGTGGAGATGGCTTTGGGCACAGTCATGGTGGACCAGAAAAGGGCCTTCACTGTTCCCACAAGGTTGGAGGCCCACGTTTGTCTAAACTGTCTTTGTATGTTGTAGTATTATCGGTCCCCTTCACTGGAAACCCCTGATCCCCATTATTTGGAGGGGTGTCCACCTTCTTTTGGCCATGCAGTGTATTTGTATTAGTGAGTATTGTCAAATAAACTTTTCTAGTATGATATAACATTGAGAGTTGGGTCTGTCTCACGGTGATCAGACTTTGGCTTTGGCCATACTTTGAGGTTATATATATTGCAGGATATTGTGTTTTTCAATGGCTTTAAGTAGGGATGCACCGATACTAGTATTGGTATTGGCGCCGATACCGAGTATTTGGGCGAGTACTCGCCAAAATGCTGCTGATATTTATCCCGATACCGGAACTTCCAGTATCAGGAAGCCTGTCTTCCTGATTAGCCGGCTCCATGCTCCCTCGTCCCCAGGGAGCATGGAGCTGGCTTCCCGGCCAATAAGGAAATTGGGGGGCAGGTAATGACTCACCAGGGAGCATGGAGCTTGCTTCCCGGCCAATCAAGAGCCAGGGAGGATGGAGCCAGCTTCCCAGCCAATCAGGGAGCCGGGCGGCATGTAATGACTCACCAGGGAGCATGGAGCCGGCTTCCCAGACAATCAGGAAGCTGGGGGGCGTATAATGACTGATTGGCCAGAAACCCGGCTCCATGCTCCCTCGTCACCTGGTGACGAGGGAGCTTGGAGCCGGCTTCTCGGCCAATCAGGAAGCCGGCACCATGTAATAAATCGCCGCCCAGCTTTCTAATTGGCCAGAAAACCAGCTCCATGCTTCCTCATCACCTGGTGAAAAAATAAAAATATCTGTACTCGATACCGAAAAACCTGTATGGGTGCATCCCTAGTTTGAGGGGCGGGACTTATACTTTTGTCATATGGTGTTTCAATGAACTCGCATGAATCATGAAGAAGGCAGCTGCAGTAATAAAATCTTTTTTTGGGCTGTGGTAACAATTATTCTGACCGGTTCCCTCTAATAAATAAAAAATATGTAGGTTTTGGGGGAGGGGAAGGCATGCTGGGATTTGTGGTTTGCCCTTGGCTACCAGTGAACCTCTCCCTGAGAAAACAGTGATATGTAATGTCCTGAGGACCAGCTTGGAGCATTGAGGTACCAAAGGTCATATTTACTCCTGTGTGTTTCCACCTCACACTCCACTCGCTCTCCATACAATGACTCAATCCTTCAAGAATGCAGCCACAGAAAACTCATCACTGGATCTGGGCCATCCCGGGGGCTTCAATGCCGGGACCTCCACTCTATGATTCCATGTGGGGGCAGAGGGACTTCCTCCTCATAATGACAAGAGCCGGCTGGCAGAGCTCATACTGAGATCCTACTGTCCCAGACTCTGGGATTTCCTTATGGTCAGAACTAGTGTTCCCATTGGAAGCTTTCCCATCCATTCCTGTTCTGGTGGCACAGTTTTTTTTTGCTGTCTGTGTCCCATTGGGGAGATTTCGCTTCACTTCCTGTCCTATAGTCACAACAGGAAGTGAGGAGAAATTCCTGGTGGTCAGAACTAGTGTCCTCATTGGAAGCTTTCCCATCCATTCCTGTTCTGGTGACAGCCCAAAATTTGGGATTTTCTTTAACTTCCAGTGAATCTTTCTAACGGGGACTCAGACAGCAAAAACCTGACAGCGGTTCTAATCCCTCTATGCCAGGGGTTGGCAGCTCCAGGCCCTCTAGCTGTTGTGGAAATACAAGTACCATGAAGCATTGCAAGAGTGACAGTTACAGGCATGACTTCCATACAGCCTAGGAAGGCGCCATCTTGGCCTCTATATTTCCGCGCGATATCACTCTATGTAGATTCACCAATACATTTCAATGTAGCTGTTCACATCTCGTCGCTCAATATCGCTCAATATCGCTTGTAGCTCGTCGCTGGTAGCTTGTCGCTCCTACATGACGCTTTTTTAGAGCGATTTTGAGCGATATTGCTCCTGATTGCATACAGCCCAATAGGAAGAAGTCGCACGACATCGCGCAATATCGCTCGTCGCGCAATATCGCTCAAAGTCGCGCGATTTCCATGTCGCTCAGTGTGAATGGGGTCTTAAAGCAGGGGTGGGCAAACCCCGGCCCTCCAGCTGTCCTGAAACTACAAATCCCATGATGCATCTGTCTCTGGGAGCCATGCCTGTGGCTGTGAGAATGTTGCAATGCCTCATGGGATTTGTAGTTCCACTACAGCTGAAGGAACAGAGTTTGCCCACCCCGTTGAGACATTAAATCGGTGGGCAAAGATAAAATGGTTCCGTTACATATATATTTCACTTCTGAATATTAAACTGTTTGGCTGGTGTTCTGGTTTAATTTCATCTGAGATCACAAAATGGCTGCTCCCTTTGTGCCTAGATTACAGGTACTCTTTTAATAAAATATAGCTGGGATGTCCGCTTACATATGAGCAGTTGGTCATTGACATAACACCTTTGAGGCTTGGTGCGGGATGGCCTGACCGCTGATCCTCTAGACAGGTCCTCTTTTATTCCTCAGGCCCAGACATGGCCGACCTTGGACGTAGGATGAGGGAGTAGACTGGCACAGGGCAGCACTGCTTGTGTCATTCTTTGCTCTGCCAGTCGGTATCAGCTCAGGGTGGAGGCTCCATCCCATATACACCTCCACCTGCTCTATATATACCTGCAGTGTGTGTATATATACACCTCTGCCGGCTCACTATATCCTCTGCAAACACACCGCTGTTCCCTCAGAGACCTCTCCCTCTGCACACAGCCCGCCTGCATCTCCTCTCTACAATGGGCCTGGCATGGTAGCAGGCTGAGGTGTCAGTGGCGGGACATTCCCCCGCTTTGTGTGAGAGGCCCGAGTCTCCGGGAGGAGAGCCGTCATGTTTGATCTGAGATTAGGGACTGATTACCAGCACTCATGACAAGCTTACCGCAAGAGAAGGGAGACAGAAACTGGTTCATGGGATCTGGTCATGTGACCCTTCCATGGACGTCCATGGCCGCTAATCCTGTAATAGTCTTCTATCTGTCACTGGGCTATTATTACATGGCCCTTTATCCCTGAGCTGTTCTTATATGTTACTAATCTGTTATTACATGACCTCTCAGCCTGAAACTGCTCGGTATCTGTTACTGATGTATTATTACAAGCCCCATCTTATAACTGTCCTATATACATCACTGATCTATTATCACATAACACCCCCCCACCCCACCCCGTATCACTTGCCTCCACCCTACAACTATTGTGTATATAACACTGATCTATATTACATTACACCCCTCATCATTTAACTGTACTGTATACTGTATATCATTTATCTATTACATGACCTCTCATCCTAAAACTGCTCGGTATCTGTTACTGATTAATGAAATGCCCCATGTTATAACTGTTCAATATACATCACTGATCTATTATCACATTACCCCCCTCCGCCCCTTACCACTTGCCACCACCCTATAACTATTGTTTATCTATCACTGATCCGTCCCCTCATCGTATAACTGTCCTGTATATAACACTAATCTATTATAACATGACCTCTCATCCTAAAACTGCTCGGTATCTATTAATGATTTATTATTAAATGCCCCCCATCCCCTCCTATAACTGTCCTGTATCTATCACTAATCTGATATAACAGGTCCTCTCATCATATAACTGTTCTGTATATAACACTAATCTATTATTACATGGTCTATCAGGCTAAAACTGCTCGGTATCTATTATGAATTACCGATTTATGATTAAATGCCCATCTTATAACTGTCCTTTATATATCACTGATCTATTATCACCCCCCTTCCCCCCACATCCTATACCTGGTGTCATTGATCTATTATCACTCAACCCCCCCACCCTTTAACTGTTCTGTAGCTATTACTAATCTGTTATAATATGACCCCTCATCATATAACTGTCTGTATATATCAGTGATCTATTATTATTACATGACCTGTTATCCTATAACTCTTCTGTATATATTACTGATCTATTATTACATGACCTTCATCTTATATCTGTGCCGTATACAATATTGATCAATTATCTCATTAGCCCTCATCCTATAACTGTCCTGTATCTATCACTAATCTATTATCACATGACCCCACAAGCTATAACTCTTCTTTATATATAACAGATCTATTATTACATGACCCTCATCCTATGACTGTCCTGTATATATCACTGATCTGTTATCTCATGACCCCTTATCCTTTAACTCTTCTGTACACTGATCTATTATCAAATGACCCCCCCACATACTTAAACTATTCTTTATCTCTGGTCTATTATCACATGACCCCTCGTTGTTTAACCACCCTGTATATATCACATGACCCCTCGTTGTATAACCATCCTGTATATATCACATGACCCCCTCGTTGTATAACTGTCCTGTATATATCACATGACCCCTCATTGTATAACCGTCCTCTATATATTACATGACCCCCTCGTTGTATAACTGTCCTATATATATCACATGACCCCCTTGTTGTATAACTGTCCTGTATATATCACATGACCCCTCGTTGTATAACCATCCTGTATATATCACATGACCCCCTCGTTGTATAACTGTCCTGTATATATCACATGACCTCCATCGTTGTATAACCATCCTGCATATATCATGACGGCCCCTCATCTTATACTGTAACTGTCCTATACCTGTTGTAGTGGAAATTGTATGTATGTACGTTACCTTTCCTTTGCACCCCGGGTGAATGATAACACAACACACATGGGTTGTATATATTTTCCACAACGACACAATTCCTCATTTTTCATAATTTATTACAAATAAGATTGTTATTGGTTACAAAAGCTTGATTGGCAGATTAGATACTGATCATGTGACACGTTCAGGGCCGGCGTCCGAGCGATGTTTCAGGTCCGAGTCATTCGAAGCATTATCGTGGTGGAAGATATAGCGGGATGGCAGTTCTTGTGGTGAGTGTGAGGGGGGGGAAGAGGAAGGGGGAAGGTCCAACTATCATAAGTTCTGTACCAGCAGTCCTCATCTGGACCTCTCCCTTAGTTGTTGTCATCTGCAGGATTGGGGCTCCCAGACTCCCAGCTCTTAATAAGAGTGTTGCGCTGCCTCCTCGTGCGTGGACTGCCCAAAGCCTGATGGGGGAAACACAAGTCCGACATAGAAACTGCATGAGAACAATACCAACACCTCGCAGTTGCAAGCTCATTTGAAGGGCCTGTCCACCCCAAATACATTGTCAGTATTGGGTGGTTGGCGGTTGTTGGAAGCAGCCACCAACTTTTCTACAATACTAAAGTCTGTGCAATAGCGGCACCACCTAAACCTATCACAAAGTGGTTTCCCACTCCTAAGCATCAAGCAACACTAGACCAGGCGCAGGCAAACTCCGGTGTTCTATCGAAAGCTCCAACTTGCCGAAATCTCCAACTACCTCACTGCCGGTTACTTGCAAGTTGGAGATTTCGACCAGACGGCGTTAGACTGCAAAACACAAAGACTGACGGAGCTCTGCACAGCTGCATTTTAACAATATTCAGCAGGTGGCAAACTCGATGAGTATTCTGAAAACGCTATGCGCGCATGTGCACCGCAACTGTACAGAGCTCCAGTCTTTCTGAGCACCGGGAGTGAGGTAGTTGGAGATCTTGATGAGTTGGAGATTTTGATAGAACGTCGGCCCTCCAGCTGTTGTGCAACTACAAGTCCCACGAGGCATTGACAGATCCTGAAAGCCACAGGCATGACTCCCAGAGGCAAAGGCATTATAGGATTTGAAGTTTCACACCAGCTGGAGGGTTGAAGTTTGCCTACCTCTGCACTAGAGGGACTCACCTCATTGACGGATATAAAAAGTTGTTGGATGATTCAACCGTACCAAAAAGTACCCTTGTCTAACTTCAGAAGTCAAAAAATAAGCTGAAAGTTGAAATTGTGCTTGCAGTGGCATTTCCTGGTCAGTAACCTACCATTCAGGATGGAGGAAGTACTTTGGTGGGGCCCTTTGGAGGCAGGCCACCTCCTGTGGGTGTCACCAGTGTGGTATTTCCTGGTCAGTAACCTGCCATTCAGGATGGAGGAAGTACTTTGGTGGGGCCCATAGGAGGTAGGCCGCCTCATGTGCGTGTCACCAGTGTGGTAATGTTCACTCATATAAGACCAGACAATAGGCTGTAGAGTGGCATGAAGTCCTCCTATGCAGCCAGATAACCAAAATAATGGACTGGTAGCCCCAAAACACATTCCGGAAGCTCGCGACCATTTCTATAAGGTTTAGGAAATCCATGAGAAATATATTCTTTTCTTTTGAACATTTTCAACTAGCGTTGGGTCTCTTTATCTCAAAACTAGGGGTGAGCTCAGCTTCAGGTTTGTCTGAACCCGAAAGGAAGCTGTTGGTGCCAGCCCAATCAGCTGCGCCCGGGGGATCCCATGTAAACAAAGGGGATGGCATGCTGGTGACATCATGGACCAAATATGGCCATGTGATATAAGATCAATGATGTCACCAGCATCCTACCCCTTCGTTTACGTGCACCTGAACTTGACTAACCATAACCTGGACACAGGCTCACTTTAAAAATATTTTTGGCAGCTAACCCAGTCCCCAGACGCATGTTTTACCTGCAATGATCCAGGCCAACAAACACACGTCAGTGTACTGCAGTACAGTCATCTAAATATATATAACCCTGATTGTTATGGGTTGCTGAACTCTGCTGTCATAGTGACCCTCCATACCTATTTCTGCATTACCTGGTCTTGCTGGCCGTTGACGGTCATGCTTTTGTTGGGGGGCCAGTTCACCTCCAATTTTCCCCAATTCGGACGCTCTAAGCATGGAAAAAATAAGAAATAAGGGAACAACAGTCATTATATTAATGTTCCTGGCATCAAATATAAAAACATTTACAGACGCGTGCGTCATAATTCCACTGAACGCTGGCTCTCCGATTGTCTGCTAGAAGAACTGTCTATGTCCTATGGCAGCCAGTCAGATTCTCCTTTTTTATTTATTTATATACACTGGAAAAGACAGTGTGAGGGTTACAGGGAGGGTTAGTGCGATGGTTACAGGGAGGGTTAGTGCGATGGTTACAGGGAGGGTTAGTGCGATGGTTACAGGGAGGGTTAGTGCGATGGTTACAGGGTGGGTTGGTGCGATGGTTACAGGGTGGGTTGGTGCGATGGTTACAGGGTGGGTTGGTGTTAGGGTTACAGGGAAGGTTAGTGCGATGGTTACAGGGTGGGTTGGTGTTAGGGTTTCATGGATGGTTGGTGTCAGGGTTACAGGGAGGATTAGTGTTAGGGTTACAGGGAGGGTTAGTGTTAGCGTTTCATGGATGGTTGGTGTTAGGGTTACAGGGAGGGTTAGTATTAGCATTTCATGGATGGTTGGTGTTAGGGTTACAGGGAGGGTTAGTGTTGGCGTTTCATGGATGGTTGGTGTTGGGGTTACATGGAGGGTTAGTATTAGGGTTTAATGGATGGTTGGTGTTAGGGTTACAGGGAGGATTAGTGTTAGGGTTTCATGGATGGTTGGTGTTAGGGTTACATGGAGGGTTAGTGTTAGGGTTTAATGGATGGTTGGTGTTAGGGTTACAGCAAGGGATAGTGCTGTAGTTGAAGGACGGGTTACAGGGAGGGTTACTCTTACATGGAGAATTGGGGGTTACACAGACTCCGGGTTCACCCTGTGCCCCATATTTCTACTTCCCCTCTTCACTCAAATACGATTTCAGTTCTATCAACCGGATGACATAAAAAGCATGGCCGCCTTTGCCTCTGCTGTGGGGCCATGCAGGACTGCGAGAGCTGAAAGTGCGTGATACCATTTTGTAATGCAATCATGGTATGAACAAGACTTGGGTTTAAGCGTGCTGCTGACACACAGAGTGTATCACGTTCCTGCTGTGCCACCAAGGTCAGAATGCAGGCACAGCGCAGAGGATTTCAGGGCAGGACGCGGGCACAGGGGGAAGGTGAAGGTTTCGTAACATTTTGTTAGACAATACAGTAAATATTTGTATGGTAGATATGCCGGGACTTGCAGATAGCACGCGGTGTCAGGATCCCAACACTCATATGATATAATCTGATGTTATGCAAACTATCATGGAAGAAACACTTCAGAAGGTCATGTGAATGGGAATAGTCTCCCCTTTTATATGTGTATTTCTATCAGCTCTGAGTTCTACGTTGTTGCCTCACTGCCAACCGGTAGTTGGATTCAGCTTGAAGTCCCTCATCTGTAAGATAATAGGTGGGAGGGGATGGTGCCTTGGTGGAAGGAAGGAGGTTGGATGGACCTCAACAGTGTGCCAATGTTCAGTAACAGTTCACAGAGCAGGTAGGAGGCAGGGCAGTGACACCGTGCCTGGAGAATTGCACAGTGTGAAAAGATGTGGTCACCTTCCTTATGCTTTGCAGCCAGACAACACAACAATGGTGGACGGCTAACAACAACATGTAGACCAGTGGTTCTCAACCTGTGTAACCTCAAGACCCACATTGTCCTCGGGCATTAAGTCGCGACCCAAGTTGCACTGCAATGGAACGCACGGCAGTGTGGGCTGCTGTGCTGTGACAGAGCTCCCTCCATATGTGCATTGCTTGTACAGTTCCCATGTGTACATGTAGAGGTGCCGGGAGCCAGAATGTGACCTCACTCCAATCCAGGCATTGCTACAGGACATGCAGGGGAGCTACAAGCAATGCATGTATGGATGGAGCTCCCTTGCAGCGATACCCCCAGTGCACCCCACCTCAACCTGACACTGTGACTGGGCGCTGGGCAGCATATTTTGAATGGCTGCTTGGCACAAGAACTGACAGTGCTGTGTGATGGGGGAGGCTGATGAGCCTCTCACCTAGAAAAGTGGAAGCCCACTGAACACGGGGTCGCGACCCACTTTTGGGTCCCGACCCACCAGTTGAGAACCAAGGATGTAGACAATCTTCCTGCGCCTTAATGGGCACCTCTGATTATGCCTAGGCACTCGTGATGGCACGATGCTGACCCAACACGTATCAGTCATTGCAGACAGAGCTCATAATCAAGGACATCTTTAGCTCTTATCAAGCCGTCTATGGCCAATGTTAGGCTCCATGGATGAGTCTATGTCCAGTGGCGGAACTACCAGGGTCGCAGAGGTCGCGGCCGCGACCGGGCCCTGGAGTTCGGCCACTTGGAGGGGGCCCAGGACAGGAGGAAGGGGCCACTGGTGACCGCTGATTACCAGTCCCGGGACCTCTTCCTCCCGTCCTGGGCCCTACATGCTTCACGCTGCTCCCCTCATCTTGTTCCGGGCGCAGCGTGAAGCATCATCCAGCCGGGCAGCAGCCAATGAGAGGGAGCGATGTAATCCCCGCCCCCTCATCACACAGAACTGCCGCCGAGTGCCGAGTGCTGCGTACACGAAGGGGGAGACCGAGACAGGGAGCTGGAAGTGTCAACGAAGGTGACATGGGGTCGCTGGGGACATGAAGGGGGTGATGAAAGAGGACAGTGTTTTTTTTTTTCTTTCCTTGTCTAATTTTGTTTAAAAAAAAATAATCTAATTTGTGTCTTCTTGGGGGGGGCCCTTCATGGGATTCTTGCATGGGGCCCTGAGGTCACTAGTTACGCCACTGTCTATGTCTACAGTTTGATCTAATTATGGGAAGGGTTTAACACAAAAAACGGACTCTGGGCACTGCACTGGGGCTACAGTGAGCTTTATGGCACATAATTGTCATTTACAATCAGGTTAGTGTGATTCCAGCGGCCATTTTCTGTGCACACATTGTGTCTCTGTATGTAGAAAGGTCATCCATGCCAAGTGAGAACATCTACGGGGAATGGGCTTGGTCAGATAGCAAGGTCACCAGTGACAACAACTTAGGAAACCGAAGAATGCGCAGCAGGTATGAAAAACGCAAAGGAGGTGAACTGGGACTCTGGGCAGCTGTCATGTCTACAGATCACTCCCTTATTTATTGAACAAACAACAGGGAGGGATACTGTTTTGATACGCACAGCTTGTCCTGAGCACTTTACTAACATCAAACAGCAATCATCATATATTACACAAGATACAGTATGTGGGCATTGGGAGAGGCAAGCAGAAACCAAAAATAGAAAAACAATTCAGAAACTTCAAAATGGACGGTTAACCATATATTGGGGGCATTCCAGATGTTCGGGCCCCTCTAGGGTGGGGTTTCAGAAGTGGGTGGAGTCTCAGTCCAATGTGAACCAGGCCAGGCCAAGAGTTTAGTTGACATCTAAATGTGTGAACTTTAAGGGTTAGTGCACCTTTACCGTAAAATTTGCCATGCGTTCTAAAACATCAAAAATAATGCGCAGTTTTTCAAAAAGAAGCTTCTTTGCAAAAGCATTCCCATTCAGCCCTCCCACCTGCCATGATCTGCCCGCATTGTGTAGAGAAGCACAGAGACTGCATGGCCTTCTCTCAGGCTTAGGGTTGCCACCTTTTCTTCAAGTGCAACCCGAACACTTAGCGTCACGCACTGGAGTTTTTTTTTTTTTTTTAAGAATTTAGAAGAAAGAGAGCGAGGAGAGGCAGCCAGGAGAAAGAGCAGGAAGAGACGAGATGTCAATTCAGGCAGATGCAGCTCCCTGAGGTCCTCTCTAGGGATCTCGGCAGCCGCATCTGTAACACAATTTTAAGTGCCGGCATCGGCACTTAGTGTCTTGTGTCCGGGTGTCAGCCCGCCTGACACCAGGACACAAAACTAAAAAGCCTGACTGTCTGGGTGAATCCTGGACAGGTGACAACCCTACACATGTGGCATCTTTTATGTGCAATAGTGCATACCTGGGGGCATGTCACAGGTCCCCAGATATGCACTATTGTGCACAAAAGACAGCCCCATAAAAGATCCCAGTGTGTCACATGTCCCTAGGTATGCACTATTGCACATAAAGGATGCCACAGGTCCCCAGTTATGCACTATTGCACATAAAGGATGCCACAGGTCCCCAGGTATGCACTATTGCACATAAAGGATGCCACAGGTCCCCAGGTATGCACTATTGCACATAAAGGATGCCACAGGTCCATAGGTATGCACTATTGCACATAAAGGATGCCACAGGTCCCCAGGTATGCACTATTGCACATAAAGCATGCCCCATGTCATTTACCAGCCACTGCAAAGAGACTCATTGGCAAAGAGAAGTTCCACACTAGGTGATGGAATGGCGGTTTAAAGCTTTGTGCTGAGGTGGGCGGGGCATAGCTCAGATTCATAAAAAAGTCAAGGTCCCATGTATCGCAGGGAGGTGTGTGGGAATCATCTGGAGAACTGACAAACAGCACACTTGCTCATAGGGACCGTATGCTGCCCGCGTAGTTGGAATTGGCATCAAAAGATAAACTTTAGAAAAATATTCAAGCTTCAGTATTCATAAAAAAAGATGAAATACATTCTTACATATAATCGACATTTATAGTTATATACCTAAATATATCTTGGTACCGGCCTGATCTTACATGACGTTCTATGGAGAAGAGTGAACGTCCCGAAGAGTGACCCTGCCACCTTTGTGCAAAGACTCGAGTTGGTTCCAATATCACTGTTGGCTTTGTGGACATAAAGTTCTTAAAGTTTCCTCTGGTTCTATTTTACAATAAACGTGAGCTACAATCTTTTTATGATGGCAGCCAATTATAAACCTGACAGAAGTTATAAGCCGAGATCTGATTGGCTGCTATGGGTTCCTATACAGCCTTGCTCTTTGCACTGTAAGGGAGGCTCGCTCACATTCCTGTGGATAGTGGATTCCTGTAGTGTTCCTTTGAACCCTTTGCTGGATACATATTATTATATCACCGTTCCTTATTTCAAAAGATAGCAGGAAATAACGACATGCTACAACGTAGGCGTCATTGAGATCCCACAATCGTAGATAAGCCAGAGTCTGTAAAGTGAATTCTTCCATACTCCAAGCATATGAACATGGTGGTTCCTTTATAATCTTCTCCATTCGTTGTTTCCAGCACTTCTTTGTGGTCTGAATAGACTATGCGGCATTGTTATAGATATGCAAATGTTGACTTTTTGAAGAAGTCACCAGCTCAGGCCTCATCGCCATTGCTAACCCCATTCCCCTAGCAGCTGATGTATTCAGGGAGCGGTAATACGGGGCTGTCACAGGCAGAGCCGTAGCTAGCTCCTTCTGCACCCGAGGCAAGAACAGAAAATTGTGCCCCCCAACAGACATGTGTGGTAAGTGATGTCATGCGCCCCGCCTCCAGGATGGCGGCGAGTGCACTTGTGGCCAAATCCAGCCAAATAGCATAAAAATTTGTTTCGTTGGACAAAACTAATGAAAACATTAGTTCATTTCGTCCAGAACAAAGGTTTAGTTTTTGCCCGTCTAGTAGTGTGTGTGGTTTGTTTTTTAATTATTTTTCTGTACTGTTGGGGGGCTTTGGGGAAATATTGGGGGTCTAAACAGACCCCTGACATTTCCCTTTTGAAATAGAAAAAGAGTCTGAGGACGCAGAGTTGTCTGCCCATACAGGTGGCGGTGAGCAACAGGGATCCGAGGAGAAGATGGAGCCTGTGCCGCTCCTCTTCTGTCTGCTGTGTTGTCCGCCTGGCGCCCTTGTGCTCGCCATGGCAACAGGGGCTGGCCCTAGCTGCGCCCTTTCTCAGCTGCGCCTGAGGCGAGTGCCTCACTCGTCCCATGGTAGCTACAGCACTGGTCACAGGAAGGGCTGAGGGAGTTTTGATTGTATGAGCGGATCATAGCAGGACGTCAAGGCTGGCTGCCTCCATATTTTCCTGTACATAGATTCCTCTCAGAAGGAGACTGAGGGAAAGTCTTTTAAAGAAGAACTTTGGGTAAATAACAAACTTTTGGGCTACCCCCGTACTGCACATTTGGTTTAGGGGGTTCAAATGATGCTAGACCGGTCCCCTCAGCCTCTTCTCTTCTGGGCTCTGGCATTCTAAAGACCACTGACATCATCACGTCTCATGCAGGTCCATTGACCAGGCACATGGACACTTCTGTCCAGCACTGTTCCACCGCGTCCCCCACCTTTACATTTTACCGATGTGCCTACACAGGATGTGCTGGGATCCCGATTTAAAGCTCGCTCTCACAGTCCTGAGAAAGAAGCTCCAGCAGATTGGTACAATCCAAATGGCCAACCAAAGACAAGGAAGTAGCTCTGCACTAGCATGGTGGCCTTTACTAGGACTTGAGTACTACAGGTATGTAATTAAAGCCTGGTATGCCAATGAGGAGATTTTCCCTCACTTCCTGTCCCGGTGTCACCCATAAAGGAAAGGTTGGTGGGGGAGGTGGGGCAGCAGGGCCGGTGCTAGACTATTCTGTGCCCTAGGCATGAAATAGCCAATAGCAGACTGGCTATTGAAACACCAGCGTCTGAGCAGACCTGAGAGAGAAAGTTGTCTCTCAGTTCCGCGCCTTGTTACCATGAAAGGAGAGTATGGCATGAACAACAATAAAACCATTTTCAGAAGTTCTAACACTTCCCCGAGCTACCAAATTGTGTTTTTGGTTTTGTCTGCATTCCGTCTGAGGAGATTTCATAGAGGAAGTCTCCCAGTTAGGGGCAAAGATGGCAACCCAAACCAGACAGAGGCTCTAACCCTTCTGTACTCTGCAGATAGGCTTTGTTACATCATTTTATTTACACAGAAGCTATAAACCTGTTCCTCACCTGGCTGGTACACTCCACTTTGGATGTCACGTTGGTTATTAGGTGTTATCTGGGAGTTCTCCGCTGTGCCGTTATCCCTGCCATAGACACTTGTTCTCTGTTTCCGCAATTCCTTTTCTCTCTGCTGCACCTCCTCTATCTCTCTATCCAGTAGTGATCGTGGGCTGGGCGAACGGTGCAGCTGGAAGGGGCTTCCGGGAGCAGCAACGGGGGTCTCAGAGTTAGGGAGAGGAGCGTTCCCTGAGCTCGGGCGAGTAAAGCGAAGATCTGCGGGGGTGGAGCGTCGAGACTCAGCGGGGGAGGTTTTTCTCAGATCTGCAGGGGCGGCACTAAAGGAGTTACTTGGAGCAGACTTCCGGAGGATAGAGGCATGCTCTATGATTATGATGTTGCTTCCGTTAGCCTCAGCATATGATGGGCCTTTCTTAAACTCTGAAGCAGGAGCAACTGGAGCCACGTGATTGGATGGTACAGGGACTTCCACTAGAGCTTCAATGGACGCAGATTTTCTCATTTCACTTTGCCTTCTTTTGAAAGGAGGATCGGAAGACTCTGAAAGAAAAGTATGAACATATTTCAAATCTTTAAAGGACAAATAAGTCAAGAAATGCAATTTGCATAAAAGGAAACTTGGGCTCTGCCCATGCAGAACAAAGCAACAGGTTCACTTAAATTCCACCCACCCCAGCAGCACATACTCACCCTCACTTTGCTCCTTACTGCTCTGTTCAGCCAACAAAAGGGAGGAAAGGAATCCCTGTGTAATCTCTAGCGGTTCTAGTTGGAGTTTGCACAGGGCTGAGGACTCTCCCCACCTCCATGTGACAGCCAATCAACAGGCATTAGCATTGTCACATGCTCCACCATACCTGGAAGTACAGAGTATCCTCCTTGTTCCTGGTGGCTGAGAGGAGCAATGGGGGAGCAAACAAAAGGTGAGTGCTCCTTGGGGGTGTTAAATAGAACCTGTTATGCCCCCCAAATGACAGTTTAGGTTTTAAAGGGCTAAGAGTAGGTACCAAACGCGGCCTATTATTAACTCCATTAGCCAGAAAAGCTACTTTACTTTACATTTACTTGGAGGTCTTCAATGAAGAGGTTTCTCTGGAAATTAGAAGCAATGACCATCTCTATATGTATTCCATATCAGAATGCCCCATCGGCCAATCAACCAAAGGCCCTTTATATATAAAGATCACCTTATATAAGGAACATTTCCATATACCCCCACCCCCCTTTTCTGACTTTTTGAACTGTGAAATAGGGACACAAGGTCTGCAGGAAAAGGACACCCCCCCATGCACCCCCTACATGGGCACTAGCGCTCCTAGATGGACACTGGCACCCTTACATGGGCACTAGCGCTCCTAGATGGACACTAGCACTCCTAGATGGACACTAGCGCCCCTACATGGACACTAGCGCCCCTACATGGACACCAGCGCTCCTAGATGGACACAAGCTACATGGGCACTAGCGCTCCTAGATGGACACTAGCGCTCCTAGATGGACACTAATGCCCCTACATAGACACTAGCGCCCCTACATGGACACTAGCGCCCCTACATGGACACCAGCGCTCCTAGATGGACACAAGCTACATGGGCACTAGCGCTCCTAGATGGACACTAGCGCTCCTAGATGGACAGTAGCGCTCCTAGATGGACACTAGCGCCCCTACATGGACACTAGCGCTCCTAGATGGGCACTGGGGCTCCTAGAGTTTCTTTTATAAATTAAGCTCATAGTGTAATTAAATGGTGCTTCATGTATAGAGATCTATACATCAGAACAAAAAGAGGGCCCATTAAGGAGGAAAGAAGGACAGAGGGATTGGGTTTACAAATGAGGGGGGCAGTTGGGAGGTATCCATTTCACATAATAATTCTTTGCAGCACAATGAGATTTCCCAGAAAGCTGAGTGCAGTTGACCTAGGTCAGTGAGAGGTCATAGATAATAAGATGGATTTACCTCTCCTATAATGACTGCTCAGCTGTCAACATAGCTATACTGCACCAACAACATTCTCCATCTTCCCATCCTGTCATTACAGTGACATGTACTCTACTACACATCCTGTTGACAATGATCGGGACAGGTTTCCATTCTTTCATTGTGCAGAGCTGAGTTTCTGGAAAAGCAACAGGGTGGCATTTGTTTTACTCCCGTCTCCTATGTTGTTATCACATATCTTTGTTCTGTTAGTCATTATTGGATGACTGTACATTGGCTTAGTGATGCCTTGAAGCAATGGGGGTCCTTGGTTTAAATGCCAACCAGGACACTATCTGCATAATGTTTGCATGTTCTCCCTGTGTTTGCTTTGGTTACCTCTGGAGACATGCTGGGAGGTTAATTGGCTCCTGTTCAAAATTGGCCCTAGTGTAAGTGTGTAAATCCATATGAGATAGGGACCTTAGATTGTATGCTCCTTCAGGGCAGGGACTCATTGACTCCTGTTCAAAATTGGCCCTAGTGTATGTGCATGTGGGGTAGGGACCCTATATTGTAAGATCCTTCAGGGCAGGGACTGTCCGGCTGCTGCTCGAAATTGGCCCTAGTGCACGTGTGTATGTGCATGTGGGATAGGGGCCTTAGATTGTAACCTTCTTCAGGGCAGGGACTGTCCGGCTGCAGTTCGAAATTGATCCTTGTGTATGTGCATGTAAGATAAGGACCTTATATTGTAAGATCCTTCAGGGCAGAGACTCATTGACTCCTGTTCGAAATTGGTCCTAGTGTATGTGCATGTGGGATAGGGACCTTAGATTGTAAACTCCTTCAGGGCAGGGACTGATTGGCTGCTGTTCAAAATTGGCCGTAGTGTATGTGTGTATGTGCATGTAAGATAAGGACCTTAGATTGTAAACTCCTTCAGGGCAAGGACTGATTGGCTCCTTTTTGAAATTGGCCCTAGTGAATGTGTTTATGTGCATGTGGGATAGGGACCTTAGATTGTAAGCTCCTACAGGGAAGGGACTGGGACCCGTGGGAAGGTGGGTTGGTTGTGAATACCAGTACTGAATAAGTTGGGATGTTTTTGTATAGTTATCCCTCAAGTCTCACAAAGCCAAGGTCACAAGGTCATCGATAGGAAAGTAATTGATGAGCGCTGAATAACGTGCCTATAGCGTTCAAAAGTGTTCACATTGCATCAAAGAATGCTCCCCAAATGCACTCTTTGAGCTTATTCTTCATTAAACAATTTTAGGGGGAAGGGATGTAGAGGAAGTTACCATCAGTAAGGAGCGTTGCTAAGCGGTTGGGGAGCTTTAAAATTGCAGGTCAATTTCCTGTTTTTGCCGATGGTGTGAATGAGGCCCTATGAACAAATCCCTCTGTGCCTCTGATAGGATTCCACCAAAAGTGTTCCATTTAACACCCGGAGTAGCTCCGGTCACAACATTTCCGTTAGTTGGATAGAGTGTGTGAGAGTAGGGACATCCTTACTTCCTGTCTATATGATGAGTGCACTATAGAACAGGAAATGAGGAAGAATATCACCTCTTCTCATCTATTTGATGAGCGGCATATAGAAAAGGAAATGAGGAGAAATATCCCCTCTTCCTGTCTATTTGGTGAGGGGTATATAGAACAGGAAATGAGGAAGAATATCCCCTCTTCCTGTCTATAGTGTGAAGTGTCGTAACAGGAAATTAGTAAAAAATATCCTCCAGTCATGTCTATTTCATGAGTGGTATATAGAAAAGGAAATGAGGAGAAATATCCCCTCCTCCTGTCTCTTTGATGAGTGTCATAAAGAACAGGACATGAGGAGAAATATCCCCTCTTCCTGTCTATTTGATGGAGAAATTGCCCCCCTCCCCC